ATATATTTTCACTAATTATAATTAATAAAAATAATTTAATTCTTAGAAAGAAATAATAGCTACAATTTAATAAATTCACTTTATATTAATAATCAATATTTTTAAATTTAAAATTAAATACAGAACAGCAAAAAATATCATATTTTATTATAGAAACGCCAATCATTACATCATTAATGTTACATTGCATAGCTTAATGCTAGCCAACTACCTAATCTCGATAATCCTCATCATCATCAATCTCGTCTTCGTATTCTTCGTATTCGTCGTCATCATCGTCGTCATTTGAATCGGTATAAACAATGTATTTTTTTAGGTTGAGTACGTTGGCGAAGATTTCTTTGAGCTGACACGGCATGATTCGCCTTTTTATTTCCATTGTCAATTGCTCCTTTATTGGCTTCCTCCTCATCTTCATCGCTGATGACGATTTGTCGACGTGAATTATTTTTTTGTGCGGGTTTTTTAAATGTATCAAAGTCTTCGTCGTCGTCTTCGTCTTCAGATTCTTCTTTTAGATTCTTTTTCGTAGTGCGTGCTGTTTTTAACTTTGGAGGATTCACGGCTTTCGACTTTCCTTTGCTTGATGCTTTAGTGGCTGGGGCCGGTTCCGGCAACAGCTCCACAGCCTTTTCTTTCCCTTTCGTGCTAGTCGTAGTGTCAACGCTATCGAAGTCATAATCAAAGTCAAAATTTAATGGCTTTGTTTCTTCGGAAGATGCTGTTGTTGACTTTGAATTATTTGGCTTTTGGAAATATGAATCGATGTTCTTCTACAATTAAGAAAAAGATATATAGTTAATTATATTGCTAACACGCTATTGGTATAGATTTTGATTTCATCTACATTTCACATACTTGAGCGGTACTGTTGTTATTTTTGACGGATGCAACCTTTGATTTTTAAAAAAATGTATATTATGAATTTTTTTATTAATTATAATTAGTGAAAATATATTTTTTATTTTTAATTCCAAAAAAATTAAAATTATATCGTTTTCAACATACTTGGGTGGCACTGTTGTTATTTTTGACTGATGCAACCTTTGATTTTTAAAAAATGTATATTATAAATTTTTGAATTCTAAAAAAAACAAAAATTATATCGTTTTCAACATACTTGAGTGGTACTGTTATTATTTTTGACTGATGCAGCCTTTGATGTTTTTCGGCTTTTAGCTTTTGAGCTGGAGTTGGTTATTAAAGGCTCGGATTGAGCTTCTGCTTCTTTTTCTTCGACAAATTTCTAATACCAAATCAAATGTTAGCATTGTTTCTATTTAGCAATAAAATAAATAAAGTAACTCACATCCCACTCGATCAAGAATGCCTCCAAATCATTATTCCACAAATCCTTAGCAGAAAGCCCTCGAAGAGAATTCATCTCCTCATTTTTTTGATCACGTTCTTCTTTAAGTTTTTTCGCCTAAGTAAAATGTTCAAAATTTAATTAAATCCAAATAAACAGATAACATACGACAAGAACGACGACTAAATGCTTACCCTTTCATAGGTAATACTTCGAATAGGCATAGTCAGTAAGTAATCATAACCAAGACCATTATCATTCTCTTCCTCGTTTTCTTCGTCATCAGTGGAAGTAGTCGACGATTGCGCATGATTCTTTTGAGTGTTCTCAAACCGCCTAAATTTGTGATGATCTAATAGTGCGACCACCTCTGCGTGCTTTTTGTTTTTGATTTCAAGCTGTCCGTCAATTATCATAGTGACGAAACGATACTTGTTTTCTAATCGCTCACATTGTTCTTCTAGATCTCTCAACAAGTAATCCTATATAACTAGAATATTATTAGATTATGGAAAAAATTCAATAAAAAAAAAATAAAAAACTTGCCTTTCGCTTATAATAATAATCTAATCGCAGATCATAAAATTGTTGTAATATCTCCTCGACAGTGTTGTATTTTCGTAGTCGACCCTCCGGATCAAAGCAGACCATGTTCGAGGTAGTTAAAGATTTAGAGAGTTTGAATGTATTCTCAAGACCTTCCGTCTCTGCTTTTGCCATATTCTCAGGTGAGAGTGTTACAATAATGCACACAGTCTCGGAACTATGGTAGCTTTTGTAATCCTATGTATTGATTTCGATTAAAAAAGCATATCTGAATGCAATATGTTAAAAGCGAAAACATTCCTTTAAAAGCAAAGAGCTTACATTAATGAACCCTTCATCACACATCTTACTCAAGCTCTCTTTATAGTTTGTAGTCCAAACACCAATTGGTAATTCCAGTATCTCGAGTGTTGTATCGTCTATTTTGTTGATAATGCCATGAATTCTGTATCTGTTTGCATTTTCCTTCACGATTTCACCCTAAGAAATACAATATTGCAATCTCATTGTTACATTGGTCGAAACTCGACAATAAAACAAAATTGTGATTAGAATCTCACCTTGAATCCACGGTACCATGGATGCATCGGAACCATCTCTTCTTTATTCATTAATCGTCGGATATTATCAATGATATCTCGAGGATTATAATTGGGGATATCAGAACTCCATCCTGTAATTTATTTATTAATTGAAAAATTAATAATTTTAGATCTTGTTCTTAATACGAGTAAAGAACGTACCTGTTCCGATACCACTGCAACCGTTAACAAGAACCATTGGCAAAATAGGAATATACCTGTTGTCAAAGTGACATAATAGAAGTAATGATTATTTCCAATCGTTAGGATTTTTTAGGTTGCAAGAAATCTTACCATTCAGGTTCAATGTTTTGCCCATCATCATTCAAGTATTTTACAAGATTATGATCGGTAGAATTGAACACAAGCTTGAGTAATTTTGAAGGTTGTGTGAAAATATAACGAGCTTGCGCGGCATCTTTACCGCCCTAATGTTCAATATCAGGAATCATTATTGATATGCTTTAATTGAATATCTAATCCTCATTATACAAAAAACGATTATTTTAGTCTTACCATAAGTCTCGAGCCAAAGGTACCCTTTGGTAATAGTAGATTGAGATTATTAGATCCGACAAAATCATGAGCCAAATTAACAATCGTTGAGACAAGACTTGTTTCGCCGTGATGATAAGCGGAATGCTCGGCCACGTAACCAGCTAATTGCGCGACCTGACGATTTAAAAAGATTTCAAAATATTTTAATCGATTCAGATAATCATAAAGAAATAAAGGAATATTTACCTTAATTTCGCCCTTGAGATTTCTCTTGAAACAACCGTACAAAACTTTTCGCTGACCAGGCTTTAAACCATCAACAACAGAGGGAATCGACCGAGCATTATCGGCCATACTAAAAAGAATTAATTCTTGATTCACGAAGTTCTCGATCGAAATTGTGTTGGCGCTATGATCGATGAAAGTTCCAGGCTAGCAAAGAATTCTCACATATAGTTAATAATAAGATAATTCAACATAAAATAACTCATAAATAGAGTTTATTTACTCTAAATTTACTCAGCCATTCTTTGCGTTCATCTGCTTTTTTCTTGTTGAAAGCCATATCAATTAAATCTCTTTCTTGATCCTGAATAGGTTCAAATGGCTTTCGATGACGTTCCAAATCCCCGAAATAAGCCTGTGCATCCTGTTTCGTGTTTGTTCCCAATCCCTATATGGCAGAAGAAAAGGTTAATTAATGTGTGTGATCTTTAAGACATTCAGTAAACGGACTCGAACTGGTTTAGTCACTCACTTTGTAGTATTTGATATCCCATCCTTTGCCATTGTCATTTTCTTTTTTCCATTTTTCATATTCGGGTATTGTGAAAAAGCTAAGCACTTGTTTATTTTTTCCGTTACCTTTCTTAGTAGCCTATAAAATCCCAGAGCGTTAATTAATTCTTTGCAGAATATTTTTTAATACAAGATAATACCTTGACAATAGGAGTAATAAATTCCAAAAGGAAATTAGGAATCTTGAGCAAGGAAGGGAAAAAATGATCCAAGAAGTTGATGATAAGCCCTTTGATATGGGAACCATCGTGATCCTATTATTTTTACAATAAAGTTTTTTTATTAATAACTAAATTATATAGATTTTAATCACTAAGAACTAGCATACCTGGTCAGTCATAATCATCAATGAGCCGTATCGTAAATTGTTTACCGAGTTGTACTCTGTGCCAGTTTTCAGGCCAAGAATCTGTTTAATGTTGGTAATTTCTACATTTTTTACGACAGTACTCGAAGCAGTTTCGCGAACATTTAACAGCTTTCCACGAAGGGGGAACACGCCATATCGATCACTTCCAACCACTGAAATACCCTGAGTAACGATTGTCTTTGCGGAATCACCTTCGGTCAAAATAAGAGTACAGTATTTTCCGTCTTTTGTTCCAGCATCATTGGCATCGTCAAGTTTCGGTATATTAAGCCTGACCAAAAAAGGATCGAATGAATAAATTTATTGATTTCGCATAACACGCATTTGAGATGATTTACATGTCCATACTTCGATTTTTTATGCCCGTCGGTCTTCTTAAGTGCTGCTTCGTCTTTACGTGATAAAAATGAAGCGATATTTTCAATTACCTTGGAACTGAGAACTAGAAATAGAAGAAAGTATTCAGCGAGGTTAAGAATTGTGATGACAAACACCAGTATACTTTGTGTTGATATCTATTACTAATGGCCTATTATATACTTTTTTTCATGAAAGCATCACTGAGTTCGCAAGTTGAGCCGAATTTAGCTTGACCCGTGGTCAGGGTTTCTTTTGTTTGTGAATCAAACGAAGGGTTTACAATTTTACAATTGACGAAAATCCAAATATTCGATTTTATAAATTGCTTTTTGATGGGTTCCTTCCTATTAGTTTTCTTCTTGATGGCATCAGCTAATCTGTTGATTATTTGATTAGCGATGTATTCCACATGCGTGCCACCTCTTGAAGTGCAAATGCTATTGACAAAACTGACCTAAAGAACAAAATAGATCGTCATCAAGTTCATCATATAAAGAAATCTTATATTCAAAGTTACTTACTTGTTTGAATTGACCATCACTTGGCGCGAAACCAATTTCCCATCGCTCATTCGGTGCTTCATAAATGAACTGGACTTCTTCACCTTCTTCACTGTGCGCGTCAAGATACAGTTGAATATAATCCTTGAAACCCTTGATACTTATTTTCTCATTATTAAAAACGACATTGACTTTGGGCAGAATTCCAGCCATATCATATGCGCGCTTTTTCAACAAAGCCTCGAAATCATCATCAATTTCTGTCAATTTGAATTTTTCGAGATCGGGCTTAAATGTGATCCGTGTGAATTCTTCGCATTTCAGATCAGTGATCTCGGGCGACCCTATCACGCTCATGTTCTTACTAAACACTTGTTGATATTTCTTTTTGGTGCTTTTGTCGCCGGTCTCAACGGTGAATTCGTTACTGTAAATGTTTGCGAGTTTGGCGCCAAAACCATTTCTTCCACCAGTTGTTTTTTGCTCTTTATCATCGTAATTAGAGGATGTCAGCAAATGACCAAAAATCAGTTCTGGGACGTACATATTTTCAGTTTTGTGAATTTCTATCGGAATACCACGACCATTGTTGTAAACGGATATCGTATTATTTGCTCGATCTACATTAATTTTTATAGTATTCATCTTTGGATCTCGAGACTTTTACGAATGAAAATACACAGGAGATTAATGAAGGTTCTTTTCTTTCAATTACGTACAATCTTTATAAAGAAATACCTTATTATCAGCAGCATTAACAAGGAGCTCATCGATGATTTTGTAGAAGCCAGGAACATATTTGACCTCTTTATACGCGAGTTTATTCGTTTCTGAATCAAAGATCCACAAAGGTTGAGTAGTAGCCTCCACGGAACCGATATAAGAGTCAGGACGCAACAAGATATGTTCCAATTGGGTCTTTTTCTGATAAATATCTTCAATAGCCTTGTCTTGGTTAAACGCATGGTCTTCTCCTTCGGATTGACTTTCTCCATGTGGGAAAGCCTCCTCCATTTCCGTGTCTTCGACAGCTTCAATGAATTCATTTTCATCTGTGATCTGTTCAGTTACCTGTTTTTTCTTTCCTTTGCCAGTAGTGGTTGTAGCAGTTTTCCTGGTAGTAGTTTTCCGGGGTTTTGCAATGGCTCTCTTGGCGGTTGTAGTCGATTTTTTAGTGGTTTTTGAAGTGGCTTTTTTAGCTCGAGATTTTATAGCCACCTCACCCTCCGAAACATTTTCCGCATCAACAATCTCTGTTATTTTTAGCGGTTCATCAGTTACCTCTGTAGTTCGAGGCTTTTTAGTTACACGTGTTTTTTTTGCGGTAGCGGTGCTGCTTGAAGCACGTTTCATTATTGATGTTGCTAATCTTCTTTGAAAAGCAGGTAGAGTTGAGTGTGCAAGACAAGTAGAAAAGTAGCGCTTGGTTGACGAAGGAAATACTGTATTGAAAAATGGTGTGTTTGTTGATTTAGTTAAATGTGAATGATTTATTAGTGATGATAACACTGTTTGCTTAAATATCGAGTTGAGACGCGTCTTGATCATGTTACGTGTTATGCCCCACGGATCGTCGTCGTTCCCACCAATCAGCGTCGAGAATGATAAATAAACTTTAGATATGTGAGATACTCGCCATTAATAAGCTTAATGAGAAATGGTAACTTTACAAAAAAAATATATTCCGTAACTTGTTCAAATATTTGGCTTATTAAAAAGTATAGCAAGAATTTTTTTACTACAAAATTTTTGTATGACTCATTTGAGACGCGTATCAATAATAATAGGGTCCCTCGTTTAATCCCCTAAATTGTATCACCAGCAAAATGGACTAGCTAATTAACGTTGAATTAAAAAGATTGGTCGATGAAAAGTTTAGCTTTACAGCGAAAGGGATTGATATCTTGACATGGCACTAATGAATGATCTTCCGTAAAAATTGACTGTGAGAAAATAGAAGCAAGTAGATGATGGGTGCAGGACTTGCATTATACATACATGAGAATGTATAAGGTTATTTTTTTAACGTTAAGGATGGGATTTTTTTACGTTCATTATTGTTCCAAAAAAAAAAAATTTATTCGCTTTGATGCATATTCTTTTAATTGTTTGTGGAAAGAAAAGGTTTCCTGCAATGTAATGCATTAAACTAGTTTTATCTTAGATTCATTCACCTTATTTTTCAATCTTCCCAATTCAACTTCGACTATCGCTATATAAAAATGTAAAAAAAATCATTCTTATCCGGATCCTTTCTTGTTTCCCCATTGCTTGTTTTATCCACGCCGCGTAACAAGCATGTACATGCAGGTACCTGTTATGTGGTTCCTAATCTATCAAATTAAATCAGATCAATTTAGAAGTAAACAAAATCAGTCGTTAATGGCGTTTTATGGTGCAAGGAATAAACATTTCCAAAAAAACTTGATTGATAGTCTTTGTCGCACGAACTCAATGTTTGTCTGATGTTATATGTCGTTATTTATTTGGTTTATTATAATTGAAAAAAATATTCACAGCGTTCGCTCTCACGGAAATAAATTTATCAAAAAATTCGATCTAAGAAATTATTCAAATATTTTTCTGTTCTAAATGAAAAAAAGCTTCGCTTCATATGTTTCATCCAAATAACACGTAATGCGTGCATACCGTAAACACACATAAATGTAAATATGCTTAAAAAGATATTAATAGAATAATCCTGATCTTCCATGTGTATTTAGCAAATAAAAAAAAATAAAATAGGCGATTTCAATCAAAATAGGAAAGTTGGAGAATTGGAAAAAAACATCGTGAAAGCCTCATCATACTTAGCCGAAATTGTTTAGCAATTCACGCTCTTTTTTGACAAAAATGAGCGTAACGCCACGAACAAATTTCAGGGTTCAAAGTTTAAGCGCCACATATAATGACACATCATATCACCTGACTATTCGTAATTGAACCTTGGAACCCCAGCTTATGAATTGACAAGATCGACACTTAATAAATATAAGCAGACCACGACCTATCCACTCATTCGAGGTAACGTTTGGTATACAGTTTGCGACATTGACTGATTTGTGCTTTCTCTTCCTCCAGTTACACTCTTCTATGATTCAACACCTTGAAGGATGTCTATACGGCTATCGGAGGTTCACCGTTCTGTGATATTTGCAAGGGAAGGCCGAAGTTCGACAACAAAAAAGCCAATTTGCCTAACTAAGTCTCACACCCGTTTGTCATCATCGCCGACCAACGAATGAAAATGAGCTACGTAGTATAATAGGGACGGTGCTTACTGTTTTACATCTTCTTTAAAGATCAAGGTATGATTTGGTTCCACCGCATAGTTCTGGCTCATTATGACATTTTGTTAGATAATATCTTGACATAAAACAATAGATGGTTATTGAGCATTCAGGACATGATGGGGGGGGGGGGAAAACCCTCCTTTTGGCTAGATTATTGGTCCCGCATCGGATGGATACGATATCTCTGATGATATTCTGTTTGCATTGTCAACAACTTTGGATGAGAAAACGATTGCAGGAACATTAAAAATGTAACTGGTTTAATTAATAATGTAAAGACAGAAGAATCCTTATGATAATTGGTGTTTTGTTTTGCAATTCTTTTGAAAAGATGTACTTTTGCTCAAGGTCACTTTTAAACAGACATGTACGACTTATGCAACAACCCTGTAAAATTGCTTAGTTTTCACCTGCATCAGAATTTAAGTTTAACTTTACATAAAGCGGAAACACAAACGAATCGCAAGCACCAAGCAAGTGCTGCTATTTCATTCGGAAAAACCTACACCGCGTATATGTGAAGAGAAAAAGTTGCAAACAATCCAGTCCAGTAGTTAATCATCATAATCAAGTAACAGTAACATTTAAACAATTTTGACTCGCTTTTATCTACGAACATACGAGCATGCTAATCAAATGAATCAATCTCAAGTGCAAAAAATTACACTTCAATGAAAGAGAATGAAAACCACTTATGAAGTGGCGTAGTTTTGATAATGTGTTTGATGCTCATTTAATCTTATTAATCTTGCTTGGTGTTGCGCCTCATTTAATAATGAAAAAAAATGCCGCTGACAGATTGAGGGGTACATATATATTCATAATCATGATACACCTTCCTGATGAATCCGAAAAAAGCAACAGGTTTTATTGTACACGTAGATTGTGCCTGTGTGTGATGAGTCAATTTGTCAATCGCTATTTTTTTTTAAAAAAAAAAAAAAAGACCAAATTTTTTCCGTTGCCGTCGGACATGGACTAGGTAGTAAATCATCGGCCAATCTTGGGGATTAGTAATAATACCATCTTTGATTGATTGATCAATGATCATTAATTATCTATATATAAAAAATGCCATCTTTTGTAAAGTTTTGATTGGTTGGTCCCCGTCGATATTTTTATATTTCTCAGTAGACGGCACGAAAATCTCATAGAAAATCAAAAATAAATGGTGGTATTAGGTTTTCCATAACTTCTGGTATTTTATTCTGTGCTTCTGTTACCTAGTTTGTAGTTAGGACGTTATTAAGTATGATGTTGTTTATGTGTTCCCGAGCCGCTGCTACTGCCGCCGCGTTGCAACTTAGTAAATTTTTTTTTAAAGATTTCATAGTTGTGTGTAATACTCCTTTCCTCTCTCTACTCTTTTTGACAAAAAAATTATCTGCTTCGCCCCTCTTCTTCTATTATATCACTCTCTTGTCTTTCTCTTCTGTCCCGTGTGTCTTTCTTGGTTTTTTATAATTGTATTTTTTTTTTCCTTTTTCTTGTGCACGTAATAATATCATAAATATATATAGTTAGCTAGGTATTATATTATCACGAGTTCTTGCGACGACAAAAAATATTACGACGACCACCAAGGCAGCTCCTTTTTTCTCTTGCTCAATTACTTTCCGTTTTTTGAATCGTCTTTGCTTTGCTCTTCAGTGTCTCAACTGAACATAACGAGAATATTAATAATAATAATATTATTATTATTACTGTTACCACCCCAGAAAAAAAAATAATTCGCTGTAAATAAGAAAAATGGTCAGTCCAACAAACACTCTACCCGAAGCAGAAACCGCCGTTGCGAATGGAGGTGATCATATCAAACCTTCTAATGCTACCAATAAACACAGGTCTATTCTCCCCGATCAGCCTGCGGCGAAAAGTGTTAATGCAACACCGATAAAAAGCCCGGGGAACGTGGTTACGAAGGCTGCTACCACTAACGGGGACAACCGCGAAAGAATTGTCGTTGAGAATAATGACAGTCATAATGACGGCGTCAATGGCACATTTAAAGAGTCGGACAAAAGACTTGATAATAATAATACTAATGGATCAAATGCTATTGCAAACGGAAAGAACTCTGAAGTGAAGCAGTGGACCAATGTTACCGCGACTGCTGCTGTTACTGAACCTAATAATGATGAAATAAATAATGATAATGAAAAGATATCTTCATCGGTGGAGACAAAAGAAACTCAATCGCCGATAAAAACACCGATACCTGCTCCGATCCCGCCTGTTAATTATTGGGAAATGAGAATGCAAAACGCTAAAAAAGTACCTGCTACTAGTAGTACTATTACCACTATTGATTCACCATCGTCCTCTGCTGCTGTTGCGGTTTCTAACTATAATAACATTAACAACAGCAACAGCAACAGCAACAACAAAAACAACAATAATAATAATGTTAATAGTAATATTAATATAGAGAAACATTTAATTGATAATAATAAATCTCATATCACAAAAACATCATCAATAGCTCCAACAATACCAACTTCTTTATCGACGATGGACAATTCAAATTCTAATGAAGATCACGAATCTTTGGATGGTATGCTTCATCATAACTATTATCTTCATCGTTGAAGAGCTGATGATGAATAACTACAATTTATTGAAAGAAACTTGCAGCATCTTATTATGTCGCAATGGAATTAAATCTTTTTCTAATTCTCGACAATTTATTAGATTCCAAGAAATACTTGAAGAAACCAATTACAACAACAATAACAGCAACATCAGCGACTACGACAATCAAAAAACCTAAACCGACTCCAATAATACCTCCCTTGGAAGATCAAAGCAGTTGGCCTGCACCGGCTGAAGTTTTGATAAAGGATAAAGAAAAGGGAGCAAATGAAAATTCAGAGAGAAGACAATCTGTGGATGTTTCTAAAAAGGAAGACAGTCCGAAACGAGGTAATTTTCTCTTCAGAAATACATATAGATATATATTTTCCTCTTACTATTGAAAAAATAAACCGATCGATTAATTCTTTTATCTTTTAACCAGGCAAGGGAAAGTGGATTCCATACGAGCTACCAATTACTCATTCCACGCCACTGCCAAATCACGGACAAAAGCATCGCCGGCGCAGTGAGGATTCAGTCCCGCACACCGGAACTAGAGAACGTCGAACGTTTATCGAAAAACCATTCAGTAATAACGCTGAATCTGTTGAAACATCAACGACAACAATGACAACATCACCGTCAGTATCATCGTCACAGCAAAATGGTAACTCGAATCCAAGACGTCGTGCTAGTGTGCCACCACCAAATGGACGTGATCAATACAGTCGTCGATACTCTCAATCTGCCGTCGATAACGGACAGCTATCACATCATATGAATAATTTATCATTTCGTGGTGGACGAAGAGGAGGGGGAAGAAGTACGTATTTGACGGAATTACAATACTGTTTAGTATGATAAAATGATAATATGCACCTTAATAATGACATTTAATTTAAGGCCGACCATTTAATGGAACTCGTTCTTCACCACGGTCAACATCATTTTCTTATTCCACCGGTTTTCCACAGCAATATGGAAGCTTATTTACAGCAAAGATGCCTCCATATGTTTATGACATAGAGCTTTTGAAGTATTACATACTCCAACAAATGTATGAATTTTTTCTTTGATGTGATCATGCTTTTTGTGGATTAATTTTAATTAACTTAAAATTTTTTTGAATTTATTCAGAGAATACTATTTCAGTATCGAGAATTTATGTAAAGATTTATATCTACGAAGTAATGTTAGTATCAATTTACTATCATATCATGCGTGATTCCACATAATTATATTGTGCTAGTTAAACCAAGATAATTTTTGAATCTATGTGAAAACCTTAGATGGACGCGTACGGCTTCGTTGATATATCATTGTTAGCTAATTTCAATCGAGTCAGACTCTTGACTTTAGACGAAAATCTTGTTCGCGAGGTACGATATCTTAATAAACATGTCTTTTAAAAATGCCCAGTTAATAATAAAATTATATTAATAACCATTCAAATATTAGGCTCTCCTCCATAGTTATATTGTTGAGGTTAGCGGCGACAAGGCTAGAAAACGTGATGGTTGGGAAATGTGGGTATTACCTAACCAAAACCAAGTAAGTAATGTCATTTACGATTGAATTATCCCAATGATGCCGTGTTTAATATAGCTTCTTTATTATTTAGCAAAATATAAACGAACATGCTCTGGCCGAATCGACATATAATAACGACTCGCTAGTTATAGAAGAATACGATGAGTACGTAGAAGATAATGATACTAATTCGATAGATGATGAAAAAAAGGAAACTCAAGAACTACAGGAACAACCACTGCAACAAGAGCAAGACGTAGTAATAGCAAATACTATAGAAAAAATTCCAACGACTACATCAACGTCAACTAAATTAAATGAATCATTATCGTTACCATCATCTTCATCTGTTACACCGAGATCATCACCGAATTCAACAACCCCGACGTCAACTACGACGACGTACACTCATAATATTACTAATATCACTCCCGAGAATTTTGAACCATTGACCGCGACAGCATCTCGATGATTATGATGAAGATGAAGCTGCTGCTCTAAAAAACAAAAACTATAATGGATCAAATTCTAATTCGCGATGAAAAAAATTGATATATATATATATGTGTGTGTGTGTATATACTCAATCTATGCTCGGCATTTCGAGAAATTATTGCGTAATTTAATTATTATGCGAAGATTATATACATATAATCCAGTTTCTGGTTTCCATTTTTCTTTTTCCTTATTTTTTTATTATACAATTGTTCTCATAATAATATTAGTAATAATATTAATGATAATATTTTCTCATTAGAAATTTTGACTTTTCCTTATGAATATTTCTCGCTCTCTCACACTTTCTCGGTGTGTCTTTATCTCTTACATTGTGGTAGTATTTTGCTTTGCCTCTTTTTTCTATTCTTGTTATTATTCTTTCTACACGTGTGTGTGTGTGCTGCTTTTCTTTTCCTTTGGCTTTTTCTATTATCCAGTTACTATTATTATTTTTTCTACGCCCAGATGGATCCTTCAGCTTATTAATAGTACTCCATTATTATTATCTCTCTCTTTAGACTTGTAATTGGCTCCTCACACAAAAATTATTATTTTCGTAGTTGATTTTATTTTTTATCATAGGTTTTAAAAGTTGTTAGGTTAGCAGTGTGTTTGCGGTAGCAGCATAAGTATATATAAAATAAATAGTTGTCCACCCTTTTTATTTTGTGCTACCTTATTTTCTTTTTTTTCCCACTGTTGACAATTACAACTAATAATAATCAACATCACAAATCTTTTATAAATGTTATATACACGGCTCGCGATGCGAGAGACTCAATTCCCATTTTTTTTATAATGCCTTGCGCTAAATCTATTGTGTATGTAATACGAACCCTTATTAATTGCGATGATAACTGTTAAAAATAATGATAAGGACTTAATAATTCTGCCCGAAACTAAATTAATTCATCATTTAACGTTATCTCCGAAAGTCTTCGTCCTCAATAGAAAGGTTTCCAAAAACGGAGCCTCTAATTCTAACACGAGACCAATCCATTAGTGAAAATCGAAATATAGGATTTCCAACACGGGAAATAACAAGTCACCATGCTGCCGCCCTAATTAACTCATGTAGCAATCTCATTATGGTGACAGATTTTACGAAATTTTTAATTTCGGGCAAAAGCTTGCAAGTATGCACAAAGTGGAGGCAGATGTATTTCAAGGGAATGCATCAGTTTTTTAAATCTACGATGTGGACACATATCACATAGAGTTTGTATTAAGAAAAAATCTTTACTTACACGACCAAGTTTTCCTAATTACTGAGATCCTACTATATCCCTTGGCTTTGCCTGGCCACCGGCAGGTTTATGCAGATATTGGGAAAGATCTGATAGCATTCCCCTATGCTTTGTAGTTGCCTGGCTTTGCTTTGCCATCGAGAGTTTATGTTGCGCGGGAGCCTTCTGTGAGTGTTAGACGAACTTTTGGATTTTATCTGTTTGACTGTGACGCGTTTTTTCCATTCTTCCTTGTATCAACATCAAAAACGTGTTGGGTTACACCCGAATCCCTTCGTAAGATTTCCGTTACCTGTTGCCAGCCTGAACGGAATATCCAAAGTTTATCTTATGCAGGATTTACTTGCAGATACGTCTGCAAATTATGCAGGAGAAAAAGCAAGTTTAAGATATTGCCAGTCTTGCTCTTGATATGTTGCTGAATCAGGTTTCTAAAGAGATGAAGTGGCAAGCTCAATCGAATCTTAATTGAACGAATTTTTACATCAATGAACCATTCTTTAGTTTTACACTATATATTTTATAGACTCATGATTAATATTATTCAAGACTGGTTATAATATGTTAGAAAAAGAATACAGATTTCGGGTATTACTAAAAATAAAAAAGTAATTATAAAAAAAAATGAATGCTCCTATTTCGAGATATGTATTAAAATATCAGTATCCAATTATATCGGCGAATGCATTCCCAACTTTGTATTAAACTCCAATTTCGATCGTTTCTGAAACCGCTTATATTCTTTTCGGTCATGCCATCTTACCACCTCTTGCACCGGTACGAAAATTATCGGCCACAGCAATGAGATTAGATACAAGAATAATGGCAGTCGACCAAGCGAATGCGTGGATGCCGATAGACGTGGCCCAGTGGATATGGAAATTGATGTGAAGATTATTTGTAATGTTATACTTTAAATTTCCGAAAAAATCATATATTGAAAATCGGAATTGCGAAATTATAGAGAATTCGTTATTTTAACCCAGGAAAAGATCAAAAATATCTTTGAGAAATTTCGTTTTTATATCTACCTGATGAAAAATGAGAGTACCCAGACATGATTATGATATGGTACGAAATCTCTCAATGAAAGAGTACGGTGTAAAAAAGTTGGAGATAAACAGGCTAAACGAGAAAAAATTTTAACAATATACACGTAAAGACAAGCAACCTGAGTATAACCAGACAACAAGTACGTACCTAAATACCACACGAAAATAAACAACGCACAATTCTGTGCATATAAAACCTCCCATTGCTGCTTTTTGCTCCAATTAAGCCACACCTCATTGCCAAAGGATCCAAAAATGAATGAACCAGCACCATTATCATCAAAGTAGCTTAAAGATCTTCATAAGAAATATATAATGAATGACCGCTTTCGTATGCAAATAAATATAATAATGGCAAGAACTATATACATACAATATGAACACCGTCAAACACATTATCATCGGTAACGAAAATCTCAGAAAAAAGTATGCAATAAAACGAGCCAAATCACTAAGATGATCAACATTTTTCACTGTTCATTTAAGCAAAATACGATTAGATATTTGCAGGAAAGCAAAGATTCGCGACTTGAAAAGAAAACATCCTGACCTGGCATCGTAGTCATCGTATCAGCTTCATGTGGATTAAAGAAAAAAGAAAAAGCCAAAAGCGGCGAAATCACCCAAAGAACCCATAATATTTGATAACCAGTGAAAATTGGAGGTAAAAAAAGAACGCAAGAAAGGAACAGCAGTGTTGTTATTGATAAGTAGCTTCCAATCATAAAAGCCGCGCCCTACGCAATAAAAAAATATTAGCATGTTTTGTTATTATACTTTGCAAAAAAATCTTGCGAAATACTATACCATTCTAAGACAGTTGGTCAATCGCCTTGCTTCTCTTATGAGGTCAGCCAAAGCATAAAGGCTCGTGTCGTATCGCATAAAAAGTCCACATGGTAAAGTGGTTAGGGAGGCGCCAAGAGCCAAAGGTAATTGTCCTTTATCGCCCTGGAGGCAACACAATCCATTATGTGTTTGAGCTTGAGTATGGGTTGGCTCCATAGCAATACCCACATCTGCCTAAATAGACAAAAAAATGATGATGAGACTGACTATTAAAAATATTTAGAGCCAAACAATTAAATAATATTATTATGCTAACCAATGCAAAAATGCGAGCATTGCTAGATTTTAAGGCACTGCCAAGACAACAGACTACCTCTCCATACTCTTGAAAGATCTTAATCATCTCGTATGTAGAGTCTGGTGTGCATTCTGCGAATAAAGACACGTGTAATGGAATATCGTCTACCTCTTCCAAGTGATTTCTTATGTTTTGAATTCCGACGGGAAGGCGAGCTTTGATATCGTGCATTTGACGATAACTAGAATTTAAGTCACCGGGAGATGATAATAATATACAACTATTCCAATCAGTTTCCAGTCCTAATCGCTCAGCATATGCTTTTAATAAAGGAAACATTAAACTTTCAAAAAGATTCGATCATATTAAAGAAGATATATTATTTCATAAGTAAATACCTTTACTTTCTCGTTCAGCAGTTGGTGAAAAGTAGACGAACCGAATACCCGCACCACTCAAATCTTCAATAAAATTACATACATCCTAAATCATCCAATATTCAAGTAAAAATTAGTATAAACTAAAAAAATCGAATCTTAAATTCAAATTCAAGCAAAAAAAAAAAAACCAAAAGAAACCCACCACTTTTGGTTGATGGCATAAAGTAACCATACTCAAGAAAATCTGCCCTTTTGTCACATCCCTATAAAATTTCTCAATCTGGTCTTGTGGAAATTCCCGGCCTTCTTCAAATATAAAATCATGCAATCCCTCTAATTGCCCTGCTTTTAAGCGTTTATATCTAATCCACTGTGACAATGTGATGTCGTGCTCAGTCAAGTATGAATCATCGGGCGCTTTTTCGTCACTAGTTGGTGGTAGAACAATATGTGTGGCTGCTGCAGGATCATTCACGCAATTATAATTTAGGAAAGGGATCTTGTTTTCTACATTGATCGGCCGATATGCATACGCTATACATTGCATATCATTGATGATGGCATTTTCGTAAAAATCGTAGATCTTTTTCTCTAGCTACAAAGAACAAAGAAATTCGCTTAAAAAATGATTGATGTAAAAAGTACCAAAAAAAAAAAAGCAAAAAAGCTCACTCCTTCAGTCATAGGTTGAAGGCTTTCTCCATCCCAATAATCTGAACAATTGTCAAGTATAATTTCGACATGTCCATCCGACAATAATTGATAAGTACCTGCAAGAAAAAATTTCACTTATCACTAATCCGTTCAACGGAAAAATAGATAACTCTTTTGCCACCAAAAAATACCTAATCCTGTTTCTTCATATATCGAAGATACCATGCTTGGCACTTCCCATTGATCATTTCTAATGTGACCTTTTAACGATGGATGGCATGGTGCAAAAGTATAAATTTCTTTACGTCGTACAAATGCTTGAAGTGCATCATTGGTAAATCCAATTTCTTTTCCCAATCTACATAGACATGCTTATTATATAACACGAAAGAGCGTCAAAATAATTATCATAAAAAAAATGAACGCGAAAATCATCACAATATTACCTTGACGCGCTGGCTTGGTTTTTGCGTGTATATTGATGCTGGAATATTTTCGATGTTGATCATTATGTTTTTTACCTTGTAATACACCGCAATTGGTGTTTAATAATAAATTAAGTCCGACCGGTTTTAGGCAGCTAATTTATCAAGATTAATAAGTAATCGAGAACAATTAATCAACGCGAAAATATAGCAAGTTAAACTAATTTATAGCTTACGATAAGTATTGTTCCCAATCTTGATCTTCAAACTGAACAGAAAAATGTCTATTCGGATTTTCAGAAACATCGAGGAAGGTGGTCTCTCCTCCGTGACGAGGAAAAAGAATGTGTTCGACAGATGGAAATGGCTATTTCGGATTAATATAGAAAATGACTTTACAATTAATAAGTCCAAAAAAAGGATATTTTCTTAGCATTTGAAAAAGGATATGATAATGTTCTTACCGACGATATAGTACCTTCCCGATCAATTGAACATATGACAGTAGTGCCACCGAGCGATTCGAAAAGATTAGTGGAGCGAGTTAATGAAGCTTGATCCCATTTGGTGAGAAGATAAAGAAATTTATTCAAAACGACGGCTAATTAATGGTGATAAGAATAAAACTTAGAACAATTTTCTTGAATTTAATGAAGCCTAAAATATCGTTATATTACAAACCCCCATTCAAGTGAATATTCTTCGTAGGCGGGGGCGCACCCGCATCAAACTCGTCTACTTCTTCATCGTCTTCATATTCAGTTTTGGAAGTTTGTAACGCTTCAGACAAGACAAGTATAGTTGCATTCCCGAAACATCGGATTATCAGCCACAAAGTGGGAAAAGAGATCGGAAGGATCGGTAGGATAGCATACACAGGAAGAAGAGTAAACAGCTCGAATCCTTGTTTAACATTCCCATTATTTCCCAAAATATCTTTTATTATATATCTCAATAAATTGACTACTATCACAGCGACAAGTACAAGAGAAATAACTTTTCTTAGAAAAAATTTTTCGAGCACCTCGGCTTGTTTTCGAATTACAGTGGCTGGCCTCTTTTGCTTTAACGCGTCACGTAGACTATCCACCCAAGGAGTTTGCAAGGAAATGAACTGGTATCTGCCTCGAATTTTGATATGATGTTCTAAAACTGCGTCCGAAAAACTACCAAAAAGCGACGGATTGAACACCTGATTTGCTTCAATAATGTATTCCGAGGAAGGGTCCAGTGAAGATGAACCATTATCAAATGGCGATCCTACATATTTCATGGTGCAGGGTGCACTATCCCCGTACATCATTTCAATGGTATCACCTTCCACCAATAAAGAGGTCGGGAAATCTCGCAAAAAGCCATCCCGAACTACTCTGCCAATAGTCACCGAAGGAACAAACGGTATTTCTATATTCTAAGAATTCATTAGATATATATTATTTTTATTATTATTATTATAGGAGCGCGTCAAGATTCAAGAAAGTCTTTAATTATAAGTTCACATAACCTATAGATTAATAGATTGACAAATAAACACGAACCTGAAAAACATTCATACCACTCTTTTTCAATTGCTCCAATATATTTTTGGCACGAACGCTGATCTCGGTGCTTGTTAATCGCATCTCTCTTGCGTAAAGAATACTGTTCCATATCAACGCGGCAAAAATGAGCACCGCTTCGACAAGTATCGAATTCAATCGAAATTGATATGGACTACTGTTCAATGTTCCATATACGAAAAACGCAATCAGTAAAAGAAAGGAGAAGATGGTCAACAAGGAATCAGGTCGAGTTAAGAATTCACGCGTATCTGCATATATTAATATACAATAACCATGTATATCCGGAAGCACAAACAGACAGACATATTAACAATTAAATGAGTCGACTGACCACACTAAACTTTATCTAATTTGGATTAAAGAGGCCAAGCAAGCTTACAATTTATTTTGGGTAATTGTTCTTGATGTTCTGATAGGATTCGATTAGCCGCGCCTATTAATTTTCTATTCATAGATATAGTTGGATTAATAAATATAATAAAACAAAGGTGATTCTTTTTAAACAATTTGGTCTGCTATAATTATGATGCGTACTCTAATGCCTGCTCGCTAGACAGCCCACAGCCTGGCCGTGCAAGTAAATCCTTTTCGTGCAAGTCCGGTGCAGGTTCTCCTCGTATAAAACATTTGATATTTTCACCTTTATCTAGTTTAAGTTCTGTTAAGGCATAGTCTGTATCGTCAGCCTGTACATCTTTTGTAGCATCTAAAAACGTAGAAGAGCCACTCGCAGTCTCATTCCCGTTGGAACGAGCATCAAATTGAACAGAATCCATTTAAGATTCGCAAACACGCGATATAAATCAATGCTAAATGATCTTTCTTCGAATATTTTCTGGTGGACTAGCCAATTGGAACTCTGTCACACATAAAAATTTTAAAAGAGCATCCATTCTTATTCAGTTCGCTAAAATAAATTAATATGCCATTTGTGAAGAGTGTTGGTGGTGGTGGGGCTTCCACCCAATTTTTGTGCTTCATTTTCTTTGCCTTAGTAACAACAGTTACCTTTGGCGTGAGCGAAGTAAACGATAATAACAATAATAATAATAATAATAATAATTCGCCCGATTCCGTCATACCGCTACGAACTCATAGTATATATATGCCTTATATTGGTTAGTATAGAAGCATATGCATATTAATGATTAGAATTACATGAATCGGGACAAATTAAATGATTAGAAAGAGATTTAATTAAATATTTGATTCTATGTATATAGATCAAGATTTTCAGAATCGATGGTTTGATTTTGGAGCTGATGCCGTGATCAATACGAATAAATATATTCGATTGACTCATGATAGACCATCACAGACTGGCTGGCTGTGGAGTCGATTGGTACGAAATCGAAAATAGAAATATGAATTACTGAATAAAAAGAAAATTGAAACATTACTGTGAATTTTTCTAGCCATTAACAGCAACAAACTGGCAAGTGGAGGTGGAGTTCAAAATTGAGGGATCAAATCCAACTTTATACGGGGACGGATTCGCCATCTGGTTCACAAAACAACGTGCCAGCCCCGGGCCAGTGTTTGGATTTGTGGATAAATTCGAAGGACTTGGAATATTCTTTGATACGTATGCGAATGCGAGACAGACGGTAGTCGCTGATTAATTTCTATTTCTTTTTTTTTGTTTTGGATTTTCCATTAATCTCTCTTTTCTCATGACACATATAAAAATAGCATTCGTTCCCTTATGTAATGGCAATGATTGGAGATGGTGAAACTCCATATGATCATGATAATGATGGTAAATCGAATGAAGTTGCTGGTTGCGAGGTAAATAAAAAAAATCAAATTGTGTTAGATTCTTGATATACCTATTCTCTACAATGGTGCTATAAACTGTTTTGATTTTGATTTATATGATAAATTTTAGGCTGATGTTCGAGGGAAATCCATTGCTACTAAAGCACGAATCACATACTACAAAGAGAATTACCTCGAGGTATTAAAAATTTTTTTGCACACTTCTTCAAGTTTGTAATGGTAGCGTTTAGACAAATTTCATAAAACGGTAATTTATTAATTTATATTTTTTTTATATTGGTTATAATAGCTTAAACTACAATACAAAGAGTGGGATCAGTGGGAACCCTGTTTCACAATCCCAAATGTCACACTGCCAACGGTATTTTACCTTGGATTTACTGCGCTTACTGGTGATGTCAGCGGTAAGAATAGATATCTTGATACCTTGTAAATCTACATTCTATATTTTATATTAATGATGTTATTATAGATAACCATGATATTGTTAGCGTCACAACAAACAACTTAATCTCGTTACCAACAGGAAAACATACCTTCAAGGTAAAATAGAAAAAAAATTATATACAAAATATATCACCGCACTAACTTCGTTATTCAAACTCTATTGTCATTTTTTATATAGACTCCAGTACGTCCCCCTCCTACCTGGTCAGGCATTATTTTCTGGTTCAAACTGCTGATGGTTATGGGAGTTCTGTATGGTGCTATGACGTTGTATCGTGCGTATCAGACTCAAGCTAATAAAAGATTCTAGTGATCGAGAAGGAGGAAGAGCCATTTAACCATTATTTTGTTAAGATGATGAAGAAAAAATATCATATAGTATTACTGAAGTTAAGTAAGTGTATGATAGAGAACAAATCACTATGTAAAATTGTATTTATTGTTGATTTGATGTCAAATTCTGTTATTAAAATTTTCTTATCTAAAATTCATACATAATTATGAGTCTAACGTTTCTATTTTTTATTAAACTGAAAAACTAAATGTCACATTACAAATAAAATACATTTTCCAAGTAATTTAAAAATCTAAAAAGAAATGAATAATCAAGTTAACAAGTTCAATATTAATTAGCGCAAACTTATATTATCATATCAGGCTCTCGTGTCTTGTAATCTCGATAAAAATACTGTTAAACCAGACATCTCCATTTTTTTTAAAATTTGAAAAATTAATATTTAATTGATCAGGTATATTATAAATTATCCATATAATCAAAGTTATTTATTCATAATTCATCATCATCATCATCATCATCATCATCATCATCATCAATATAACCACTTTCATCCATCAACAAAGAAAACGACCCACCAACTTTATTTTTATCATTCTCTTTTTCTTCCTCCTCTTCATGACCTATTTCAAGATCCTGCAATTTTGTATATATGGTCTGTGAGGGATCATCTACTTCTTGACTAGACCGAAGCGAACGATTTGTTGATGAAGACGGCAAGGACGCGAAAAATCCAGGCGGCTTAAAAGACAACAATATTCTCCCGTCATTGGTCATCCGTAAAATAGCATTTGCAGCACGATACACGTCCGGCCGGGATGATTTACTTGTAAAGAAGTGGCGTTTCATGGCAAATGCTATAATGGTAAACGATAAAGAACATGAACCAAAAATTGAGGATTGAATTTTTTCCCCTTAAAATTCGCTCATAATTTCTTTTTACTACCTTCACAAATATCCCAAGCAGACCATCGATATTCCTTCTCATCGGCTTCCGGCGGTGTCAGCCGTAATATTTTCTCAAGTGGTATTCTTTCAGCCTACGAAAAAAATTTGAGATTAGAATAAAAACTATTTTTTTTTTTTAATAATATTTATTTCATACTTACCAAATACTGAATAGTACTATAAGGCTCTTGGACTTGTGAAATAGGATACATCCCAAATAATATCTATCAAAAAGAAAATGATTAAAAAAACAATATAAGGAAACAACTTCGAAAAAAAGGTAAAAACCTGGGTAGCTTTCGGAAGCAGACTCGGAAACACCAATCCCGGCGAATCGCAAAGACGAATATTCCCTGTCAAATGGATCGTCTGAAAATGCTTGGTGTGTCCTAATAAACAGCAAAAATCAAAATTAAATAAATATATGAATTTTGAAATAGCAATAAGGAAATCCAAAATCTAACCTGGAGTCTTGGAAGCACTCACTACCGTTCTCCTCATTATGCTATTTATTAGGCTACTCTTTCCAACGTTCGGATGTCCTAAATTAAATGATTCAATATAATTGCGCAGCTAACATGAATAATCTTGCGTTTTGGTTTACCAACAAGCCCAATGGTAATGTAATCTTTATGAGGAGCAACTTCTGATTCATGAATTTCGACAATAGCCTTACTATCATCTAAACAATAGAATCCCACATTAAGTTTGGAATTAAGAATCGATTCTTACATATTATTCAATTACCTGATTTCCTCTGAGAATCATCAGCTCCATCACAGCCACCATCTCTTTCATGTGCATCAACATTCTCCTCTTCCTCCTCCTCGTCAGTATCTCCCAACGTTTCTCCATCCTCTTCTTCCTCTTCAATATCCTGACTCTCATGTTCTTGTTGCTCATACTGCGCTATCAAACCCTCCCAATCCACTTGCACACCCTTCTTCACCAATTTGATGTCTTTGCATGCGACAAGCAAGTCTTTTTTTCCGATTGAGCCTCGATTTTGAAGCTTACGACGACGTGGTAGACGTGCGACCCTTTGTTGGAGGTAGGCTGATTCGTGTATGAAATATATCGAAGATATTATTTATTAAAATGAGAAAAGCGATCACTAAAAAATGAAAGATCATTAACTTGTAGCGGTATCATTCACGAATTTTTTGTCCACCGGAAAACTACTAAACCCCACTATATGCACATTAGGAAACTCTTGTTGGAAGTATCGAGACCAAGCTTCAACTGTGTTTCGAGCTACTAAATCGATCTGTTTAAAAATCAGAAATTTAGTTTTGGCTCAAATTAGAAAATATTCAATCAAACCTTATTAAACACAAGGATCATATCCCGTCCAAGTTCCTTGACCACAAAATTATACAGAGATGGCGGAAAATGTAGTAACGGATGTCGAATATCAACGATTATTAGGATCATGTCTGATATTTCGAAAACTCGCCATCTTAATTAGAAAAAGACCACAAGAAATCAATTAATTGGAATAAAATATGTTAGCGTAGTAAAAAAAAACATGTTAACATACAATTGTCGCCAGACCTTTAAAAAAAATAGCGAGAAACAAAATTTAATCAAGCAAAAAAAATTTAGGGATCACACGAAGTTCAACAACAAACGAACCTCCAAATTATGCTCAAAGAAACTCAGCTCCTCCTTTCCCCAGCGATCATACACATCCTTCAACCATCGCTGAAAGTACTTTTCCTCGTTAGCAGTCAACTGCTCTTTGTTCATCTGGTAGTTCCATGGTGGTCGTTTAGGGAATTCTATTATTGTTGTGTAGATATCTTTGACGGAGACTTCTAATGCTGACTGTTTTTTATTTGAAAGAATTAAGTTAGATGGAAATTGTTTAAACTAAGAATTTCGGGTCAATTTATTTTTACAGAACTTTAACATCAAGCCGCGTAAACGGTTTCATGCTCGCTAATCGATTCGCTTGAACTTCACGAGGCGTTAATTTCTTAAATACCGAGTAAAGCCTTTAATGTACAATTAATAACAGAAAACGCGTAAAAACGAGCTATAATTAAAAATTATAGAAATCAAAATCAAACAAACTTTGTAGGATCGTTTTTCTTTCCAATTTTATTATTATCCTCTTCATTATCTTTTTCATCATCGTCAAGCAACTTTTTGGATGATTTCTCACCGAAATCATCATCATATTCTATAAATAAAAAGAAATCAAAAATACTCGGTTGAACAGGAAATTTATTCTCATCCGCAAAGAAATCATTTAAAATAAAAAAAAATCCATTTCGTTTTATATCTCATTAAATGATTTTTTTTCGATAAACCACATAACTCACTCCAGCATACCACTGAAAGAACACGCCACAAACCTTCATTTCTCTCGATATACTTTGCGCGTCGTTCTTGAAGTTGCTTACGCTTCTGTTTACCACTAAACGGTTTCTTTCGATGTTTTGTGCTCATGACTAAAAGCTAAAACGCACATAATTTTTTGTATCATTTACAAAAAATAATAGATCACCAGGTCAAATTCGAGTCAATCACTTGACCGATTGATTATACTTGTTTAGCTATGATAATGATTATGGAATCAAAATTTATTAAAATGACTTTTTTTTATTATTAATTTACACAAATAGAATAACTCCTAAACCATTTCCCATAAAATAGAAACTACGTTTGTTTTTTGTTTGATTATATAATTAAAATTCTATATGCATATACTCTAATAAGTGTGTTTGTATGTAAGAATTCTCCTTTCGGTGATAAGCATGATGATTGATGGTGAAGATTCGACTTTGATGTTTTTACAATTATCGAAACAGTCATCATTATCATCACCATCAATCAATCAATCGCCAGAAAAAATGTTGTGTATATATTAAAGGAAAAAAAAAAAATAAAAAAATTAGACAGATATTACAAAGGTTCGTATGTATATGTACGTGTGTATGTAATGTATGTATATATGTAAGTAGTATATATATAAAATGTATGTGTATGTATGTGTGTGTATATATAGTACGTATGTATAATAAAAGAAAGAAAAGAATGTCATAAAAAATTAATATTTTTGGGAGTAAAGAGAAATTATTTGAGAAATTAATAAAACTATTAACCAAGTAATTAATTAATTGGTTAATTGATTGATCGATTGATTGATTAAATGTCCTTTTGATACGCAACATATAGTAAAAAATTATATATTAACATACGAGAATAAATAAAAAAAGACGACACAAAGAGAGATAGAGAAGAGATCCTTTGTACTTTGAAATTATAAAAAATATAAATGGTATCAAAAGCAGAAAAATATATAATACAGTAATTAAAGAATGATAAGTATTAACTATATAACAAAGGAGAAAGAGAGTAAGGAAGTTTAAAGAGAGCGAACGAGTGGGTATATTATATATGATCATCAGCAACAATACACGTTGCTACCATGATTATCAATTGGTTGTCACCACGTTATCTGACAAATTAACCAAAAGTTGCGCCAAATAACGCTTAGTGTTTACGTCATCCTTCAACACCACAGAGAAGGTAGCATCACGAAGAGGTTCTGGTAAACATTGACGTAATGCTTCTCTGGCTCTATAAAAAAATCAAATCAATAAATTATTCGCTTTCGACATTAAATAATGATTTATGATACCTAAATAATAGTAAAACTAACCTGGGATTTTCTGATAACCTCACATAACAACGAACAACATGTTTCAACAAACGAACAGCCTGAGTCTCGACCAATTGATTAACCATATTGCTTAGCACTGTGCCCACGGCATAAAATCGTTCATAAGTCTGACAGATATATGCCAAACCTGTTTCATCCAATAGGATCTTTTGAACGATAAAGATTGCCACAGTTTTTGATAGTTCACTTCCAGTTTCCATGATACGAAGGCAAAGTGGTATAATCTCGGTGGATAACAAGAATTGAATGACATCAGTGTTATCATTCTATATTATATTTGTTAATTGTACTTTTGTTAATGATATAATAAAAAATAGGATCAAAAGAGAAAGTTAAAAGACGAAACAAAACCTTCACTAATGCACCGATAACACCGAGACTTGTTAGTCTTAAATACTCAAAAGGCCTGGTTTTACTCGTAGTATTAAGAAAAGGGTAGAGAAACAAAGGAATGTGTGCTATATATAGGAATAGTTATTAATAAATGATAATCCTAATAATAGAAATTGATAACTGACACCGAATAATTACCGTTAAGAAACAATTCACGCGTTTCGATATGACTAGCAACACACTGCAGCAAAGCCAAGGCATTACAAACCCGATTTGAAAGATGAGCTGTCAAGTTGGGCGGTGACAGCATCGGATATACCGACACAATCTCTTGGAGTAATGCAGCCATCACCCCTATCATTATAATATTCGATGAATCAATCAGAGAAAACGAAAGCACCATGAAACCTATCAAAAAAAATTTTTTTACCAAAAGAATGCCAAAGTATTAACGCCAAATCTTCATACTGTTCTCGCTTTTTGCTCAACTCAAGCAAGGCTCGTTCTCGTTCAACCGGATTTGTTAATTCAATAACTAACGCATAAATTTTATCCTCCTCGATCGGATGATATTTTTGTTGTTGCTGTTGTTGCTGCATAGTTGGTAAGCTCAATGGGCCACCAGTTGCGTTCGCCCACGGATCTCCACCCATCGGTAACCCGTGTATAGTTGCTGAGGCATGAAGATGATTAGAAAGTGAGGCACCTGGAAGACTCAAGTTCAGGTGATTTGGAGCAGCTAGCGCTGAAGCGGCTGCTTGTTGCGCCTGTTGTATCTGTAGGTATTGTTGCAACTGAGGGTTGTTGTGTTGAGAAAGAGAATGCATGACTGATTGCTTTTAAATAACAATAATTAAATAAAAATGTTTTTGGATTGGAGATGGGTTGCTATGATAAATATAAAAAAGAAAAAATTTTTTTTCCTTTGATTATTTATACGCTTTCCGTTCCGGTTGGAGAAACAATAGGGTTGCTGCGGGATGTGTACAGCCGTTGTTTGTTATTGACGTTGTTTTTTTCGTTGTAACATCGTCTATCATATCTGAGGCCAATCACAACTCTGGACCTTTTAAGCTTAATTGATTGACTGATTTGGTCTTTTTGTTTTTATTTGACAAAAGAAAAGATATCGATGTCAGGTTTCTATCTAAAACATCCAAAAATTTCACACAAACTCCGTGATCGATTTAAAGAACGCCACATGCTCGATTACACAACAAAATAACCAGCCACGGAGTACAACCGATCATTAATGCTGACGTCACGCGAAAAACAAAAAGTCGCGATTTTAAAAACAGTGAATAGTAATAAAATAAACTTCCTAATTTTACACACACACGTAAAAACACACACACACAATATTATAATATTATGTGTATCAAATGTTTTGGTTTTAAAAAAAAATACGACACCAAATTCACTTGTTACCTAGTCCTGTTCCCACCCTTCTTTCGTTTTCTACACTTTTTTTTATTATTTCCTCCTACCATTAACGAATCTGAAAACACATAACAAAAGCTAGATTCTTAAATACACTATCTAATTACATCTTTTTTTTTGCAAATTAAATCTCTGTTATTTGGTCAACGATATGGCGCCTCCAAAGCTAATAGGGCCAACACAACGCACTATAAAACGTCCGGCCCTAAGTGATGTTAGTAATATCCCGGCGGTAAGAGCAGCAAAGCCAATCGCTACTAAACCTACTACAAATGCCACTATCCTCTCAAAAACAGCAGCAAAGCCAATCGCTACTAAACCCACTACAAATGCCAGCATCATCCCAAAAGCAGCAGCAAAGTCAATCGCTACTAAATCTACTACAAATGTCACTATCGTCTCAAAAACAGCAGTAACAGCAGGAGGAACATCTAATTATGGCGAGACTTCCTCGTTAAAACAACAACTGCAACAACAATCACTGCAAATAAAACAACAACCACCACCACCAAAAGAACAAGTAGTTACTACTACTACTACTACTACAACGTCCGCACATAATTCAAAGAGAATCAAAGTTCAGGAGGAATGGGAAGATCTTGATAAAGATGATGTTAATGATCCATTGATGGTTTCAGAATATGTTGTTGAAATATTTGAATATTTACATGAACTTGAAGTGAGTATGTTGTTATTGAATATATTTCATGTGTTTCATGTGTGTTAATAAAGTTAAACAAACAATTTGCAGAAAGAAACAATGCCGAACCCTAATTACATGGAATTCCAAAAAGAATTACAATGGAAAATGCGTGTAATACTAGTCGACTGGCTCGTCGAAATCCACAATAAACTCCGTCTTTTACCCGAAACATTATTCCTAACCGTCAATATCGTCGATCGCTTCCTTTCAGTACGCGTCGTCTCATTAGTGAAACTCCAGCTGGTGGGAATCACGTCAATGTTTATCGCGGCGAAATATGAGGAAATTTGTGGTCCATCAATCAAGAATTTCATTTTCCTTTCCGATGGCGGATACTCTGAAGCAGAAATGTTGAAGGCCGAACGGTATATATTGCAAACTCTCGATTTCAAATTGAGTTATCCGTCACCGATGAATTTCTTGAGACGAATTTCTAAAGCAGATAATTACGAAGTTAATGCTCGTACAATTGCAAAGTATCTTCTTGAAGTTATGTTGCTGGATCATCGGTTCTTGGCTACACCACCGTCTAAAGCTGCTGCTGCCGCTTTATTTCTTGCGCGTTATGTGATTGGAAATGCGGAATGGGTAAAATTAAACAATTACGAAATATGCTTAATTAAGTAACATAGTTGATTGATTCTTTTTCTCTTCCAAATACTTTCCTATTAGCACGCCAATTTAGTACATTATTCGACCTACACCGAAGAAGAACTCATGTCGACTATTGAATTGCTCATTGATCACCTGAAGAGACCTAGAAAAGTAGAGGCAGTATACAGGAAATATTCGGCTAAACGATTCATACGAGCCAGCGTCTACGTGCAGGAATGGATTAACAGGAATTATAAGGACACCATCACCACAACAGAAAATTATCGTTAGTTTAGATTGGAACTATATAGGGGACTATAATAATAAAATTATACAGCCAACTCTCTTTGAGTACACCCTCTAAATGCAACTTCTCTTTATGTGCAGAAAAATTATCTGATCCCATATCAGAACATATATGATAAATGCAGGATATTTTTAGTTCACTTATATATGATCTGATCAATATTTTTTTATTTCAAAATGTAATCACTTTAATAAATCAATTTTGTATATTAATGATTTATTAAATAATGATAAGAGAAAGATTATTTGAGACAAAGAATTATCAGAAGAATGAGTAAATATGAATTAAAAAGAATATATTAGATATTATGCTTATTATAATAATAGAAAGAGAATTTAAAAATTATAAGTAAAAATAATAATTATAACAAAAAGAATAAAGATTTAAAAAAAATATTGTATTATTTTAAAAAAAACTTATAAAAAAAAATTACAAATTATATAATTTTAATTTTATTTTAATAAATAATATAATCTGATATAAAAAGATTGGTATATTAAATAAATATTAATAAATTATTTTTTCAAAATAAAATTTTAATTCTGTTTTATTTAATTAAGTTTATTAGATATTGAAATTTATTAAAATATAAAAATTTTTATTATAAATCTTTTATAAAAAAAATTTTACTAATATAAATTTTTTTGAATTATTATTTCTTAAATTTTACTATATAAAATTTGATTAAAATTAATATAAAAATTATATATTAAATAATTTAATTACTAAATTTTGAATTTTAATATCTTTATAACTATTAATTCAATTTTTATAAAATTTAAAATATTATTATAATATGAACTTTAATTAATTATTTATTATTAATCATTTTATATTATAATATAATTAGATAATTAATTACTTATATTTTATTAAATATCAGCTATAAAAATATGATTCTAAATAGTTTTATAAATATAATAATCATGATAAAATTATTATAGCAAAGTTAGCAAAACTAGTAATATTATCATAATAAAATTTAATATTATAATACTAAATAAAATAATATTTAGATAATAATAAAAGTAATATAAGCATTATAATAAAAGTATCATTTATATAATCTTTAAAATATATAAAAATAATATATTTTAACTAGTAAAGTTAGTTAGTTAGTCAAATAGTAAATTAATTAATTAATTTAGTTTTTTTAAAATTTTAAGTTTTATAAATTTAGTTCTCAAATTATATTTTTAGTTAAAGAAAATTCTAAGAAATATTTCTTATAGAATAAATTTTAATTAAGATTTATTATTTTATCTTATTAATAAACTAATTATTATATCTTTATTAAATTATATTGTTATCATTTTAAGTTTATATATATGTAAATATTTTAAAATAGTAAGAGTAACTATATTCAAAATAATTATTTACTCTTATAACTTTTAAAAGATTATATAATCAATTATTTTCTCAATAAGATAATATATATAAGTTTACTTCTAACAAAATACTCTCTTAATAGAACAAGAAGAAAGTAAGATAAGATATATAATAAAATATATATGTTTATAAAAGATAAATACTAATTAACTACTTTTAACTTAGTAACTAACTCTTTCTATCAAACTTAATTATTTTTCTTGATCACTTCTTAACTCTCTATATATAATATTTTCTTATTACGCTAATTATAAATTATTTCTAACATAATATTTTATTTAATTTACTTAAGAATAAGTAAATTTTCAAAAGAATAATCATAAAAAATATTAAATACATAATAATTAAGAATTTAAATTAGTGAAATATTAAGATATTGTAACCAATTAGCTTATTTGTGTGGTGCAGTAGACGTGGCGCAGCATATGGCGCAGCTGCAGCATGTGGCGCAGTAATCGTCAATTACTACTAAATCAGATGAATAAGTAATTTATATTAATTAATTTAATTTATTATTAATTCTATTTATAATTCATATTATTATCCATATTTAGTCTTATTCAAATATTAATTTAGCCATGTGTGTTGTACTTAATTTATAGTTTAATTAAATTAATAATTTCCTTATTAATTATTTTTATCTTTTCTTTCTTTT